GGGCACGGTCCCTCCGGGGCTGCCGCGAGCTGCCCTCTGGGAGGGTCCTAAACCTATAGCTGGGGCTTGGTGGAGTTGAGATTTTGGAGATTTCCAGGCGCTTTAACGCGATTTCTGTGGATAACCATTTTTTTTCCTTGCTGCAGCCACATACTCCCTTTCCTGATCCTTATTTTTCCTGAATTCCACTTTTCTCTAGCCTGCCCACACTTATCATATAATTAATAACGTTCTTTTATATACATGCTTTTCTGACGCTCTGCCTTTGTTAATCACTTCAATCTTCTTTGCTCCCCCGTCCTGAAGGAATTAATTGATGGAGCGTTGTGAAACTTTTCGTCTTCCTAGAATTCCTCAGACGTACCCCATTTGGCTTTGTCAGGTGTCCCACGTGCCATGTGAAGCCAGCAGCACAGCAGACCTTTGCTGGTTGTCCTTGGTCACCGCACTTTCATTGCAAATCTGCATCATTTTTCCCTTCTAATGCTACATCTGAAGCCTTTAAACCAATTAAACACAAGTTAAAGTGACCATCCCAACTAATCAGCACATTCAAGTTGGCTGCAGTGGGATTAGATTTTAATTGGTGCATAAATTCTGTTAAAATCTTCACAAAAATCATGGGAAGTAGTGCTCATTGTTACCGTGTGTGTTGGGGTTGTTGCTTGAGTCTCTCGCTGAAATCTGCTGGGGTGGGCAAGCCATGCTCTCTGAGTGATACTACAGTGATGACAGTGGGAAGGGGCAAGTATTTTTACAGCCCTGGAATAGTCTCAGGCATTCAGAATTTAGGGGAAAAATGTAGCAACTTACTGCATGCCTCCAGTCTCTTGGCAGAGATATGCATCTCCTGGCCTTCAGGACGGTGAGGGGAGACAGTGTTCCTCAGTGTCACAGTTTGTGTGAGTACAGACCAGCAGCTCTGTGCTCTGGTCAGGGTGTGCAGCCAGTGGCCAGCTGGCTGGTTTCGGCAGGGGCATTGTGCTCCAAGGATGGTTTGCGTTTGTGGCACTCACAGAAGTATAATTCCTCCATTGTGTTGGCTCTGCAGTGGCGAGGATGGCAAAAAATGGTCAGCACTGCCTGCCAGGTTGTCTCCCCCACCCTGGGGCTCCAGGAGGCCGGAGGGAGTGATGATTGTGCAGGAGCCCTGAAGTGCAAGACCCTTTCTGGGCATGGGCCCCCTCACCAGGATCACACCTGGACCATCTGGGGCTGCTCAGGGCAGCCAGCCCTCTGTACCACTGCAGGGAGGAGGAGGAAGAGGACATGGGCAGCTGTTTTCTTTTGGAGTTGTGGCTGAAAGTTCTGTGGAAAGAGTGTGGGAGAACAGTGTAATTCAAGAGTGGCCTGGTACCCCCTGTGTCTCCTAGTCTGAGTAGCACTTCAGCCCCAACTTCCCTGTAATCCTATAAATGGTAAAGTTTCTGCACTCCAGTACAGGGCAGCCTGACCAACTTTGACTTCCTAGGAAGTAGAAATAAGTTACAACAGCATGAGCTTTTCGCTAGCCCTCAGGCTTTTTCTGTGTTCTGAAAATTTGGTCCAACTGAGAATAAGTTACTGATTTTCATTATTTAATGTGAGCTAGGAAGTATAGGCAAAAATAACTCGTGTTGAAAAAGAGAACTCTCAAATGTAGCTATTACCAGAAATGATAATGTTTAAAAGCCTGGTATGCCTTGCAATCAAGACCACGTAATTTTGTGTATTCAAATAAGTTGGTGATTACCTCTTTGAGCATGACCTTACCAGGGTACTATACACAGGCACTCTGAGGTTGTACTCGTCCTCCATGAAACCTTTCCTTCCCACCACAGGCTGTGGTCTGTGAGGAACCAAAGGCTTCCTTCCTCATGGAAGTTTTTCAAAAAGTGTAGTTGGCATGACTGAGCCAAATGACAAAAAGAACAATTTTGATACAATTGTTACACTAAAAAGAAGCAAATAATCTTTTTAGGAGGCCATTTAGGTTGGAGGATTGATGCGAGGGTGATGAACTGTAGATGATTCGTAGCAGTGATGTGTTTTGCACTGACTAGTTCAGTGCAGGTCACGGGAGCTCTTAAAACGTGTGGGAAGGGAGAGCCCTCGTTGTGATGGTTATGGCATGATTACTTACATTTTTGCAAGTCTAAGACCTGATATACAGACTTTTTGCCTTTGGTAATGGTTGGATCCACTCATGTGAAGTAGAAAGCATGAGTGTTTTCAAATACTTGATGATAGCTGATGAGCAGGTGTTGCTTGCCAGCACTTCCTGCATTCCCGGTGCTGGTGGTTGGCTTCGTCCTTCTATTTTGTTATTCTCTGCTTTGGGCTGCATCTTTGGCAGGCTTTAGTCCTTTATTTTGATGTCCTCTTCTCTCCCTAGTCACCAAAGGTGGGATTAATCTCCGTGTCCAAGCTCAGCTGTTTGCCAGGGTAGCAGGGGCTGGCCGCCTGCTCCTGATGGCAGCTGTGGCCATTCACTGCACACACTGTGGACAGTCACATCTCTCCAGATTTGAGGGTTTAGAGCTGGTGACAGCATCAAGTTTAGTGGAAAACCCACAAACCATTTGCCTTTAATAGTCCAGATTTATAAGCTTTCATAACCACCCTGACTCTGAGACTCCAGGCATGCTATTTCCGTGAAGTCAGTGGGGTTTTGGTTGATTCAGCAGCCTGAAAAACAGTGCATTTTGAGATGATCAAATATGAAGTGTGGTATTGGATAACAGCCATAAGAATATGGCAATTGAGGCTTTAATGTTTTTGTGTCTCTGGCATTGTCTTAGGTTTTGGCAGAGGTGTTCCCCTGCTAAGGCCCTAATTTTGACAGATAAGGGGTTGTAAGGACCAGCTCAAGCCCTGTGTTCTTTAACCCTTGCCAGAGTGGAGTAAGCTATGCAGGTGCAACACATAGCCTTTAGCTAAGTGTGCTGTCAGCATGCACAGAAACGTGAACACCATTCACAGGCAGTTTCTGTTTCCTTCTTCTATTCCTTCACTTGTGCAGTGATAGCATCCCTTAAACATACTAAGCATCGCTGTCTCCGTTCAGATCTCTGCCACCACCTTGCTTTCCTGGTGCTTTCACTTTGGATGTGCTGCCTTTGCAAAATTCCTGATTGCACAAAGCGCTGCCCAGGTTTGGGCAGAGGAGTAGAGAAACTGTGTTTAGAGTACTTCAGTGGAAAAGTTCCTGTATTAATTAAGTCTCAACAAGTTTGGCCCTGTTTGTCAAAGTTTCATTGGACTGAGCTAACCTCAAATGTCTTCCTCGTAAAGTAACTTCTGAGCCCTGTTGTCTGGGGTCTGATCAGCTGTATTGAACTTGGGCCAGCAAAGTGCACTGATCTCATGTGTGTAAATACTTTGTGTGAGCTGGAAACTTCTGTATAGCTGCTCCTCAGCCCACTGCAGCGTAACAGCTGCCATCCTGAGCTTCTCTGGCTGTCCACAACCCAGCCACGCTTGGTGCCCGCCCTCGTCCTCCCTTGGCAGCAGGCACAGGCAGGCTCGGCTCTGTGGGCAGCTCTCACTTCTCACAGCTCCTGGGTGCTCAAGGATGAAGCAGGGGGAGACATGCACTGCCAAGTAGGGGTGCTTCTTCACCCCTCACTGTCTGCCCTGCTTTAGGAGGAATGTGGGTTTGCCCCTTTAAGTCACAAAAGGGAAAGTGTAGGCTTTAGTGATTTTTAATTAGTACTGGGTGGATGAGCCCCTGCATGTAAAAATTTATAGTTCTGAATTTACTTAGCTAATTATTTTTTAAGCCATAGATTAAGTCATAGTTTGACCTACTGTACAGCTGAGGCCATAGTATCAAGCCTCACTTAGTACTGAATTAACTCATTAACTCAGTGGTTTTGAGGTTTGCAGTTTCAAGTTGCAAACTTGATGGTTGGGGGGGGTGTTGATATAAATAAGATTTTTTTTGCCACAAAACCCCATGTTACTTAGTTGGATTTGTAATTGTCTCAGAAATAGCAAGACAGATTTCATTCAGGCTCCCTGCAAACAGTGTTGTGGCCAAGACCAGGCGTGCATCCTGGATTGTGCACCACACACCTCTGAAAAGCAGAGCAGCAGGAGATGAGAACTGAGACCTTCTTAGCCCTGGTAGGATTCAACTTTGATGGTTAATATTACAAAACCACTGGAGCTGGGCTCATGTGTCAGGCTGTGGCTGTAGGCAGGTGATGTGAGAGGGCTGCCTGACCTTGTCACCGCACAGCAGTGCTGCGGGGCAGCTGAGGAAGGTGCCTTCTGGTGATACACATCACCCCTGCGGCAGGACAGCTGACTCCTCCCCTCAGAGAGCCAGAGAGCAACATGTAGCAAGGCATCCCCTCTACTCCGAGGGGGCAGGAGCAAGCGACAGCAAGCACACTGCATTGGAAGTGTAAATGCTGTGGTAGGAAAAGGTGTAGTGGGAGTGAAAGAGGGAACACGTTGTTGCATGACATGGTAGGACCTGTGTTTGCACTTCTCATATATGTTGCAGTGTTCTAATTGACCTCTAAAAGTGGTAGCTTCATCATAAGAAAATGTGCCTTTCTACATGACTGATCATGATGAACATAAGCTCAAGCAACTCTTTAATTAACTCAAGAATGTTTTTCTTTACCTTGGATGTTTACTTTTCACGTTTTCCTCTGTTGTCACATGCAATGCAGATGCTTGCAGAAAGCTAGAACAGCTCTGGGCTGTGCAACAAGGGCTCCTGGCAGTGTGGCTCTGCTGCCTGGTGTCGTCAGCCCTGCCAGCCTGTGCTGCATGCTGTACAGCTCCACACAGCTGGGAGTGACAGCTTTTGCTGCAGTGCTGCAGCAAAATTTGTCAGACTTTGTTTTCACATTTATCCTCAAAATTGCCTTGGTATAAATTGCTTTTATATACATCTTATCTGGGTTTTAAGCTCCAAGACTGGCTTTTGTCTTCCCTGGTGGATTGGTTTGAAAATTGCAGGACATGTTTCCAAAGCTGAAAAGAGGCTGCAGAGGCTCCAAGGTTGCGCTCGCTGATCATCTGATTCCACTGCAGCACTTTCAGCTGCTTGTGCCTTTGAGGTGCCTATGCCTCACGTGGGAGTGCAGTGGGTTACCTTAAAGGGAAAATCTGATGAAACTGCTACAAGAACTTGTTGTTACATGTGCTATCTTAGTGGAATTTACCAGAATAGAAAGGAGATTCCTGACCTAGGATCTGGAACAGAGCTGCAAAGACATTAATTCCTCAGGTAGCGTGAATCATTTGGAAATATGTCTGTTTTACTGAAAAACAATAATTCCTGGATGATAGTAAATAACTGCTAGTACTGCATTGTGGTGAGAATTTGAACTTACAGCAATTGAGAATTCCTAATGAAGCTTCTCACTCTGTTGTCTGTATCCCATTCTGCTCTTTGGGATTGTTTTTAGTGCTGTTGAGTGTGATTAATGTCTTTGCATAAAGGTATCCTGTGTGACGTGGTTGTTGATGTTTCTATTTGAGATTTGGCTGTAGTATATTGTAAACTGTCTGCATATGCTCTGAAATTCTCTGGATGTTGTCCTTTTGCATTGGGCAGAGCGTGGCAGTGAGAAGTTTGGAATAGGGCTTTTCCTGTAGTGTGTAACCACTGTCACAGAGGCGCTGGGAAAGGGCGAGCGAGTCTCAGCAGGGCTTTGGGGAAAGCCGTGGAATTGTGTGTGTGAAGGTGACTGTGGGAGCAGTGCTGTGACCAGCTGTGGAGGTGGAGGGCTCTTTTCCTGCAGTGATGGGAAGATGGAGGGGCTCTCTGGCTGTGTAGTGTCTGCAGAGCTTAGGCAGCAAACAGTGTTTGATAGCTGCGCTGACAGGCTGGCTTGAGGCAGTGACACAGTAACTGCAAAGTGCAGGAAAATGGCTGTGCCCTGCTGACTGCCTTGATTGCCAGGTGGCACTCCTCGAGCTTGGGTCACCTGCCCTACATTTCCCTTCCTCAGCCCCATCCTCTGGTTTGTTTTCTCTCACTGTCTTAGAACAGAAACATACTCCCAAGTCCTTACCCACAGATCATCTCCATTCAGTTTTAGCTCTGCTGCCCACTCTTTGAGCTGATTTGCAGAGCAGGGTGGGTTGATTCATTTTGGGATTTTTTTCTTTTTTTTTTTTTTTAGTAATCTCTGCCTCTGTGCCTCCAATGACTGCTGTGACTGCTGCAGCATGTGGCTGAGAGTGTTCAGCACAGTCCTTGTTTTGGAGCCCACCTGTGTGTGACCTGGTGAGGCACACCACCTCTCCTCTGCAAAAGCAAGAGTGGTGTCAGCAAAGCATTGGTAGCTTGGCAGTGACTGAGTGTAAGGCAGATTAGAAGAAAAGGTTGTTCTTTTCTGCCCAGTACTAGTGAGGTGGTGTCTAAAGTGTCATGAGATTCAGGTAGATCTTTCACTAGACCTTTGGGTCGCCTAAGGCCCCATCCGGTTTGACCTTGAACACTTTCAAAGATGGAGCATCCGTAGCTTCTTTGGGCAGCTTGTCCCAGCCCTCACCACCCTCAGAGGGAAGAATTTCTTTCTAATATCTAATCTAAACCTACTCTTTTCGTTTGAAATCATTGCCCCATGTCCTGTTGCTACAGTCCATGGTAAAGTCTTTCTCTGTCTTTCTTATAAACCCTCTTTCACTGAAAGGCCACAATAAGGGCTCCCCAGAGCCTTCTCTTCTCCAGGATGAACAACCCCAACTCTCTGTCTTCGCACAGGAAGTGCTGCAGTCACTGGATCCTTTTTGTGGCCTGGTGTGAACCCCTGTAGTGTTTCTGAGGACTCCAGAACTCCAGATGCAGTGCCCCAGGGGGAGTCTCATGAGAGAAGAGGGGGAGAATCACCTCCCTTGGCCTGCTGGCCATTACTTTCTTGTTGCAGCCAAGGACACAGTTGGCTTTCATGTCGAATTTTTCATCCACCAGTACCGCCAAGTCCGTCTCTGTGGGGCTGCTTTCAATCCATTCAGCCCCCAGTGTAGGTTGGTTCTGCAGATTGCCCCATTCTAGGTGCAGGAAATTGCAGCGTGGCAAATTCTGACTGATCATAAAGAAAAATAATTTTCACCCTGAGATTGGTCTGATTCTGAGATTCTGGGGGAATAGGGCCCCAAGGGTTCTGGCATTTCTGACCCTGGAGATTTTCATAACTTGATGCAGTCCTGAGCAACCTGCTCCAGTTTTGGACTAACCTATTTGGAGTGGGAGCTGGACTAGGGTTAACTTCATCCCCTTACTGGCAACAAAGATGAGACAGAAAATGTGAATTTCCCATTCCTTCTCTCCTTTGTAGAGAGGAACAGTGTGGTGGGGGAAGTGCTGTGGTCCTGTCTTAGTACAGCCACGCCAGTCCTTCCTTCCTGTGGAACATCCTTCCTTCCTTCAGTTCAGGGAGTACAGGGGGAAAAAAGACAAGTAAATAACACTGTGAGGGAGCAAGGTTAGACAGCCATGCCCGAAAAAGTGCTGCTGCCGTTTGTGCCTTATGCTCTATTCTCACTCTCCACTTAAACATGCTATAAGAACAGCACACACCCTCTTGGCTCCAATCTTCATTTAGGATGGGATTCAGATAAATTAATGCTTGGCTTTGAGGCTGCAGGTTTCCTCATTAGCATCTTGTGTAATGCTTGCAGAAATACACGTGCTTTAAGAGCAGTAAAAATTTGTCTGCGTTGTCCATTACATACCAGTGGACTTAAGAGCAAATACAGACTGCCCTGTAGAACTGCCTCTTTCTTGTTAATACAGGGTATATTTCAAGATTGTTGGTTTTCTAGCAGCATGAAATGGAGAATTTGGAACAAAGGTTTTCCTTGGTAGTCATGAGTTGGATGGCATCTTTAACTCTTTCATGCTGTATGGACAAGAGGCTGGTGGGAGATGGATGAACTTTGAAGTTGGTAATGTTACTCCCCCTTGTCTGTGGGAGAAGTATGCAGGACCTTCCTGATGGAAATCCTGTCCAATACTTCTGACTTAAAACAGCTTCTTAGCTGCTTACTGAAGGAGGCAACTGGATGCTTAGGATGATCTCTCTGGGAAGTTATGGCTCTTCTGTGTCAGTGCCCTCCCTAGTCAAAGGAGACACTTTATACAAGCAAATGGGGAATTGCTCTGGCCCATTTTTGGGAAGAGGGAGCAGAGGCCACGTATCCCTCTGCTATCTCTTTCTGCATTAAGGAGACTCCCAACAGTTCTTGCCCAGAGCAGGGTTTGTAGCACAGGGCATGCAGCTGGTCCTTTTTGCCCTGTTTGCCTCAGTCCTGGTGCAGTGCTCTGTGTGTGAATTGCCTGTTGTCATTTTGAGAGGCTCAGCCTGTAAGTGAACATATTCCATCCTTAAATTCATCAAGGGTTTTGAGTGGGCAGTTTTCAGTGGCACAGCTGCCCAATGTCATGACACAATCCTGGCAGCTTGTGTTGGAGTCTCCCTATTGTCTATGGAGCATTAATTTTGAGGGTAATGTGTTTAAGTCCCCACAGCTACAAGCATGCTCTCACAAAGGCAGTGTTCCTTTGAAGATCCAGGCTGTGATCTGTTTGTAAGTGTTATTTTAGTTTTTTTTTTTGTTACCTGAGGATATTTTCAGCAATAAATTGAACACAAAGACTCCTGTTAGGATCTTCCAATCCACCCAGCTGTCTTTGTTGAGTAAATCACATTTGAAAGAGTGGCATAAATTCCTGAATACTTCCTTTCCTTGATTTCACACTTGCCAGTGAAAAAAAGAGCTGCAGGTTGGGAGCTCAGAGGGAAAAAAAATGCCACTTGTTATAAGGAAGTCCAAAATCACAGTTAATATTTGTGGTACAGCCAGGGGACAGGGTTAGCAACAATTTGTGTTGGGGGGCCATGAAGGATCTGGAGATTACTTGCAGTGTGTTGGTTAGCCAGCCTTCCTTTATGTGTACAAGTGGTTTGTGAGTCGCTCTACCTGAGGTCCACCTGGGTCACATGGCTTAGGGAGGAATCCCAGAAGCTTTGGCTGCCTGTGAGTCAGTGCGTGCAGTGGGTGGGTACCCGCTGACGGCAGCGCCTCCCGCTGCACCATCGTGCCTCCTCTTGCCTGCCGGCTGTCCTGGACGCTGCTCCGCTCCGCTGCGGCTCCTGCAGAGCACCTGAGCGGCTCTGGGAGCGACGCAGAGCTGGCAGTAGCGCCTTGGTTGGGTAACAACACCCAGCGTCTTGGTTTAGAGTGTGTAGATTTATGAATTGCAAAAGGAGCAGATAGGAGACAGTCTCCTCCCTGTCCCAGAAAGGTTTGCCTGGAGCCAGAAGTGATGCTGTTGGTGTAACCCAAGCTGGCCACCCTTCGTGCCAGAGGCATTTCAAATGGCTGACCGATTCCTCCTGGCCTCTTCCCCAGGTGTTAATCCCTGCTGTTCCCCAGGCAGCTGAGCTGAGGTATGCTGCTAGTCTGTCTCTCATCTTTAACAAATGCTTGTCCAAAAGCTGCAGTGGCGCAGCTGCAATGGGCTCCAGCATATGCTTGAGCTGCTGCAGTGCTACTGCTGCCAGCGTGCCTGCACGAGCGTGCCTGCACGCTGGGCACTGCAGCTCCTCCAACACACAGTTCAAGTCTAAATTCTGGTTTGCTCCAGGAACAGTAGCAGTGGCACTGGTAACCTGAATCAAATTTCCTGTATTCCTCAGGGCCCCTTGCACAAGTCTGAGTTCATATTAATTGCAGCCTTCATTTGGCCCCGAGCATTTTGGCTGCAAGTACAGCACAGGCCAGGCTGCTGAGCATGCCTGCAGAAGCACTGCTGTCCATCCATCCATCCATCCCACAGCAGGGTCCTGAAACAGTCCCAGCAAATTCATCTCCTGCATCTGCACAGCAAGTGGTGGATTTGCACAGGGAGCTGTGGTGGGTGTCAGCCTTTCTCACAGATGAGTACAGGGAAGAGCAGCATACCCTGAAGAGGGATCCCCTCCAACAAGAGCAACTCTACATAGACCCAAGGCAAAACTTTTACTGATTTGGGAGATTTCTAATGATCATGTTTTTTTCTAATGGCAGGGCTGTTCTGTTCAACGGGTGGATGGCAATGATAATGGTTTATGAAGTAAACCTACAAGAGAGCAGTTAAAACTGATCTTATGCTTGAATACTGAATTTTGTCAGAGTAGTTAGTCCTGGAAGTCTGCTGAGAATTATTGAGTTAAAGGGCTCTTAGTAAGGTTTAATGAAAAATTAAAATTTAGACACTTATTGGAATATGAATGA